CCTTACTACATGTAGTTCCCTGTTATGAACTCGATGGGCCGCTGTTGCCCTTTTGTCAAAGTGTTTTCAAGTGTTCGTTTCCACAAACAAATCTCCGGTGCTGGCTCAGTCGAGCCAGGACATCGAAACATATCGCACGGCCCATGTTAGATGGAATACCACCCTTGGAATATTAATCTGGCATATTTTTTTTGCATTGGCCCTTGCCTTCTTGTATTGTTGATGACTTTGCAAACGGTGAAAGAGGGCTGCAGTTGAAGGATTTGGCGGAGGCATCTTGTTGAACAATGACGCGGCAAGCGCTGCTTTTTGTCTGCGTGCTCGGCTTTCCAGCCGTTCTTGGACAAGTCAGCTACTCTATACCCGAGGAGATGGCCAAAGGATCTTTCATCGGTAACGTAGCACATGATTTGGGACTGGATGTGAAACGCTTACAGTCGGGCAAAGCTCGCATCCACACGGGGGACCGCGCTGATTACGTCCAGCTCGACAAGGAAAAAGGAGTGCTGGTTATAAAAGAGAAGATAGATCGCGAAGCTATTTGCGGCCAGACAACGCCTTGTGCGCTCCATTTTCAAATAGCGCTCGAGCAGCCGATAGAAATATTACCCGTGACTGTTGAGGTCACAGATATGAACGACAATGATCCGGTTTTTGAAAAGGAAGGTCGGGTGTTGGAAATCAGCGAGTCGGCTGTTGTTGGCTCTAAATTCATGTTAGAGAAAGCAGTCGACCCCGACATCGGGTTGAACGGGCTTCAGAGTTATACGCTAAAGCCGAATGATAATTTCATACTCAAATTACACAGACAGTCAGACGGTGGGAAGAAAGTGGAAATGATTTTACAGAAGCCCTTAGACAGAGAAAAAGAGGAATTTGTTACATTGCTCTTAACGGCGCATGATGGAGGAGAGCCGCAGAGGTCAGGAACAATGCAGATTCAAATTCAAGTGTTAGACGTTAATGATAATGCTCCCGTTTTTACACAAAATGTTTACAAAGCGAACCTGAAAGAAAATTCCGCGTCAGGAACACTCATTACTAGAGTGAGTGCTTCCGATGCAGACAAAGGCTCTAATGGAGAAGTGAGCTATGTCATTGGAAACGGCATGAGCAGCGTTTCCAAATTATTTCATATTACTGAGGATGGAAATTTTGTGTTGAAAGGCCCTATAGATTATGAAAAGGCACAAAAATATGAGATTGACATAGAAGCAGTTGACAGAGGTGGGCTTTCTGATTCCAGTAAGGTGATCATTGACGTGGGTGATGTAAATGACAATACTCCTGTTATTAAAATGATTTCCTCCTCCACTTCAGTGGAGGAGGAATTGCCTGCCAACACAGTGATAGCGGTAATGAGTGTAAAAGATCCAGATTCGGAAGAAAATGGTAGAGTAAATTGTGTTATTGATAATAATATACCTTTTAAAGTAACATCTACAAGTACTTTTTACAGTATTGTAGCAGATGGTGATTTGGACAGAGAGCGGTCGTCAGAGTATAATATCACAGTGACATGCTCAGATGAGGGCATGCCTTCCCTCTTCAGCAGCGTCACTCTCACCTTACACATCTCAGATGTGAATGACAATGCGCCTGTCTTTGAAAGGAGCTCATATGAAGCTTATGTTGTAGAAAACAACACTCCAGGTCTCTCCGTATTGATGCTGAAAGCCAGTGATGCTGACTGGAACCAGAATGCTCGTCTTTCGTACATCCTGGAGGACTCCTCAGTTAATGGAGTGCCAGTCTCCTCATATGTGTCTGTTAGTGCCGATAGTGGAGTCATCCATGCAGTGCGTTCATTTGACTATGAGCAACTGAAAGAGTTCAATTTCCGAGTCAGAGCGCAGGATGGTGGCTCCCCTCCTCTCAGCAGCAACGTGAGTGTCCGCATCTTGATCCAGGACCAGAACGACAACGCCCCTCAAGTCCTGTACCCGGTGCAGACGGGCGGCTCGCTGCTGGCTGAAATGGTACCACGTTCGGCCGATGTGGGCTATCTGGTGACTAAACTGGTGGCCGTGGATGTGGACTCTGGCCAGAACGCCTGGCTCTCCTACAAAGTGCACAAGGCCACCGACAGGGCACTGTTTGAAGTGGGCCTCCACAACGGAGAAATCAGAACTGTCCGCCAAGTGACTGATAAAGATGCTGTCAAACAAAAAATGACTGTTGTCGTGGAGGACAACTTAACGTGGCGGTGGCCGACAGCTTCCCTCAAGTGCTGTCAGAGTTCACTGACTTGAGCATGCACGACAAGGAGTACAATGACCAGCTGACTTTTTACTTAGTCTTGGCTCTGGCAGTGGTATCCTTTCTCTTCATCACCTGCTTGCTGCTTATCATATCGGTCAAAGTGTACCGGTGGAGACAGTCTCGCGTCCTGTACCACTCCAACCTGCCCGTCATTCCGTATTGTCCACCACGTTACTCGGATACTTTGGGGACGGGAACTCTCCCGCATGTGTACAATTACGAGGTGTGCAGGACCACTGACTCCAGAAAAAGTGATTGTAAATTGGACAGAGCTCCAAGTCACAACGTGATGGCAATGGACCCCCATTTTACAGGGACCGTGCAGAAGATGCACATTGAAAAGAACATCATGGATGAACTCGATTCTCCTCTAGAGGTTAGACTTCATTATTTTCAATACTGAGTTTTTTTTTTTTTTTTTTTTGCAGACTGACAACTATTTCATGATTTTTACTGTGTAAACCACCACAATTAATTGATTGGGTTGAGATCAGAGAACTGATTTGGAAATTCCAGGGTATCAAATTTATTTGCCTTCAAAATGCTGTACTTGTATGTGCTTTAGTATGCCATTACTGTTTTTCCCCTGAATATGAGCAGAGTATGTAGATCAATTTGTCAGGTAATTTCTGTCAGTAGTCTCATCATCCATGAACATAAGTGAGCTCTTTCATATCATAGCGACAGTATACATGCTCATGTCCTGGCATTACCTGCAACATGTGTGACACATCTCAAATTAACTTTATTTGTATGCTTTGAAACATGAGCTGTTCCTTTCCTTCTCCTTACTCTCCTCTATACATCATTCTATAATAGCGTTTAAGTTCAGTTTCCAGGATGAGGCACCCGTCTGCTCTTTGTAATCCAGGCAGTCGAATGAGTTGAAGGTCCAATCTAAAGCCTCCATAGACCTGATGCGGGTGGTGGTGATGTTGTGGGTGGTGTGTGGCTGTGCTGAGGACTGGCCGATGTGGCGGTGTGGGCTTCTGGTGCCCGCGGCCACCACATTGTTGACTCTTGTTCTAGAAAATTGTAGACTTTTGTGTTTGTGGCAAAATCTGATTTGGGTATCCGGTTCTTGAAGGGTACCCTTGAACTACAGTAAGTGTAAATCTCTGTTTTCATTTAAGGGCTGCTTGATTGTGTATTTTATTTTAGAAAGATTGATTTGTGAGGGTCATCTGCCCTGATAAATTTAAGATGACAAGTGTCCAAATGCTTTTGAGCTCCTGAAAACTGGCATATTTACCAATTTCTAAAATGATAAGTAGCATAGTTTTTGAAACCCCCTGCAATAAAATTGGAAGTGTACACTTCAATCAGTTTCCCCGGCAACCTATGGAATGGTGTTTAAATACAAAAATCATACAAACTCTTGTCTATGTTCCAACACAAGCAGACCGAACTTTGAAGCCCTCCCGTTTCAGCACCATGGAGAGTGACGTTTTTCCTTTTAATCTGTTGTTTCTCCCACTTGCTTTCCTCAGACGTCTGTAACTATTATGCAATGGATTACTTGCATACTGTATTACAATTTCTATGAGAATATAACATTTGCGAGTTCATGATTGTGTGGAAGATTTGAATAACAGGGGTTTGGGGGGGGGGGGGCCCGGAATAAACCTGCTCCTCCTTTG